GGCAAGGCAGAGCCCTGACAGCTGGTGCTACTGGCAGCACCAGTGACATCCACAGTGTTGTCCTTGTGGTCCCAGTACCAATCACGCAAGCATGATCCCTAAGAACCAAGCCCACGGCCCGAAACGGGACCTGTCCCTTCCCTGTGTGTGGCTGTGCAGGGGGCAGGGAAGGAGGCATGCTGCAGGTACACAGCTGACGTTATAGCTGCTCCCACCCCTCTCCTTGCATCCAGCGGGGAGTCCCCTCCTGTGGGTGCTGAGGGTGACACCACTCCCCGTGGGGCTCAACGCCGTTCCCATTGTGCCGTTTGCTCTGGTGCACTGCTGAGTGCACCCAGTTTAGCAGCTTCTTGGACAGAAAAAGCAACCTGCAATTGCATAAACAGTGATTAAGTTTGGGTACTGCCAACGGCACGGCTCCAGCGTGGCGAAGCCCAGCCTGGCTCGCGTGCGGGGGCCAGCGGTGGGAATGGCGTCATCGCGGCCAGGTCGTTACAGTGCTGCTGGAAGGGCGGTGCGGCTGGCAAGCACCCTGTCAGCATGCTGGGGTGCATAATGGGGATTTCTCACTGCGGGAGATGGACGAGCCAAAGGGGGGAGATGCTCTGTGGGGCTTCCCAGCAAGGACAAACTGCCTGGGGAAGCAGGTGGACCTGGGCAGGAGCCTGTGGGGTTTGATAACCCAAGGGAGGGATGTGTGGGGTTGGTTGGGCAAACTGTAGCTCCAGAGGTGATGGCTGAGCTAGGGCTATGCTGAGGCCAGAAATATGCCCATGCCTCGGGTGCAGCCCCCCCTGCAGTACGCTCCTCTTGGCAAAGCAGCCGCGTGAAGTCCCGCTGCAAACATCACAGTCAGCAGAAACATAGGGACAGAAATGCCTTTATTTCTCTGTTAGGCTGGAAGTGAAACCATGAGGGCAGAGGCTTTTTCTCGCTTTTTATTTACTTGCTGCGCATCAGTGCATGAATGCTACCCTATGCCATGTAGCACGACTGCTGTTACACAGCTGTCTAGCACAGCAAACCCACGCATCGCTGTCGCAGTGCTGGACGCAGGGCCCCCCCCTCAAATTAACAGCAGGATTGCATGAACCAGTGATATTTGGCTCCTGGGCTGCAAAGCACTGCGTGACCCCCAGCAATGTGCAGGCTGCCCATCACACAGGTGAGATCAGCACTCGCAGCAGGGATGCTCAGGGGACACGACATGTGGGACCCCAAACTCCACTGCTGGACCCCACTGGTGTGCATACCAGCACCCCTCAGAGGGCCCCCCGGCTCCAGCGGCCATAGGGGTGTCCTGGGGCTCCCCACCTTGAGGGCTGCAGTCCTGTCTGCTGGCTGTCACTGTGGCTGCCCCGCTCCCCCTCAGAGGACTGGCTGCTGTCGGCACTCCTGAGGTTAGTGTAGGGACCACGGGGGCCACCCCCTGCCCTGCCGAGGGCATAAAAGGCCCGTTCTCGGACATGGAGCTCGTCAGCACGCTTCACCTGGTCCACCTGCCTGCTGTGGCCCAGTGCTGCGAACGCCCCTGTCGCCCCGGACCCTGGCCTCTTGCCATGACGTCCAGGGAGACGGCCGCCCCTGGCCCCCGCCACTGCTGCCCTGGCCTCAC